ACTCGTCCAAACCACTAATATCTTACTCTGGGTCATGTCCCCCTTCGCCACCTTCTGTAATCTCTAGTATTGCTGCCCTGGAGAATCAGATGAAAATGATTGATTCTGTCATGAACTGTCAGCAGTTGACCAGCTTGAAATCCATAGAAAATGGATCAGGGGAAAGTGACCATTTAAGTAATGACTCCTCATCAGCTGTAGGAGATCTGGAAAGCCAGAGTGCAGGCAGCCCTGCCATGTCAGAATCCTCCTCATCCATGCAAGCATTGTCTCCAGTAAACAGCAACAGTGAAAGTTTCCGGTCCAAGTCTCCAGGTCTGAGCAACCAAGAAGACCCACAGGAAACACCATAAAGACAGAAAAACCAGACAGTCCACCACCTGCTCCTGAAAATGGAGGTGCACTCGATCTGACAGCTCCTACCCCGGGCAGACCAGTCATCAAGGAGGAAGCTCCTTTTAGCCTGCTGTTCCTCAACAGAGAACGTGGTAAGTTTAAAAGTACTGTTTGTAATATCTGTGGCAAGCCTTTTGCTTGTAAGAGTGCATTGGAAATTCACTACCGCAGCCATACTAAAGAACGTCCATTTGTTTGTACAGTCTGCAGTCGCGGGTGTTCCACTATGGGTAATTTAAAACAGCACTTACTGACACACAAATTAAAAGAGCTGCCTTCTCAGTTATTTGAACCCAACTTTACTCTAGGTCCCAGCCAAAGTACTCCTAGCCTGGTCACCAGCACTGCGCCTACTATGATCAAAATGGAAGTGAATGGTCACAGCAAGCCGATCTCACTGGGGGAGGGCCCTCCGCTTCCATCTGGAATCCAGGTTCCTGCTGCACCACAGACAGTGATGAGTCCAGGCCTCACTCCTATGCTGGCACCCCCACCACGGCGAACGCCTAAGCAACACAACTGTCAATCGTGTGGGAAGACCTTCTCCTCAGCCAGTGCACTCCAGATACATGAGCGCACCCATACTGGTGAAAAGCCATTTGGTTGCACAATCTGTGGTAGAGCTTTTACCACAAAGGGGGAATCTCAAGGTAAGAAGGAAAACTCTCAATCTCAAAAATCAACTCATAAGGAAATCAGAATTATTGAAAGGCATCTTTCTTAGGCTTTACAGGCTGTAATTTTGCTATGTTCCTGGCCAGGAGAAATGAGAAGCTAAGGAAACCTATTGTACGTTGTCATGTGTTCCTGTCAAGCATGGTAACATGCAAGGGTTCAGTCCTGCCTTTTGATGTGTGGGTGCTTATCAAGGCCTGTTCTTCAAACTTGATCTTGTGAAGCTAGGCCAGATGCGTGTTTATAGCCTGTTCAATGAACTAGGCGGTGAATGCACTTTGCACCTTGGCAGGCAGGCCCAACACCCAGTGGAATATTGGTATGAAAAGAAACCGACATTTAAAGAGCTGTCACAAAATAAAGGACAGTCATTCTCAAAAAGAAAGAATGCTGCAGCAACTGTGAGGTTTGCTAAGCAATTAAAAAAAAAAAAGATGTGTTCTGTTGTTCTATGTGTCCACCAAGAGGAGCTGGTGGGGTGGGTGTGTAGCTGAAGGAGAGTGATATACAAGTTCTAGAATGTAGAGGAGCATAAAAGGAGTTCAGGAAAAAAAAAATAGAGCTCATGGTAAACCCACTTCAGAACTTCCCATAGTGTGTTTTCTGACAAAGCTCACTTCTGTGAAAAGGCACAGGACTTGCTCGTTGCTAGTAGACCTGTGTCTCTATACTGCCTCTTACTGCACATCCTGATTTCTGTTCTATGTAACATGCATATCTTGGAAAGTTGGGTTTCAGTAGGCTTTTAGAGGACATCTCAGAGGTCAATATTCCTATTGTTCCCATAGCTCAGATATGCATGGATGGGATAAAGGTGATATGAGGACCATCTTCTCATCACAAAAAGTTCATAGAATGTTTTAAAACTAATTTGGGGGTTCTTATTCAAAGGAAAGGCAGTGAAGCAAGAGTACAGGAGAAAAAAACAGGGTCAAAATTACTAGATGATTTATAAGAAAATGGAGATTAAAGGAGTTAGGCTGAACACAGTAAGAGAGCACAGGTCTTTATTCTCACATACTGAAACATTCTCTTGGCGGCCCTTGTGTTTTGTGAATCTGGGACAATTGTGTTTTGTTGTTTCAATTTTTGTCACCTCAAAGAATACATATTCCTAATGTTAAAGTGTACTTTGTGTCTTTAATGAAAATAATGTGCTTATTTGATCATAAGCTATTCCCCAGAAAGTTCACATGAACCATTTTATGTCACTCCAAATTGCTTGGGAGAAAAAGAAAAATGGCCAATAAGTACCTGAAGGTTTGTACGCTCAGATTCTATGAAAATGGCTGTATACAGCAAAGTAACAATTTAAGTTATGAGAATTTGCTTATTTGTAGTTTTTTTTTCTTCTCTCATATTTTATATGCAGGTTCATATGGGAACTCACATGTGGAATAACGCCCCTGCAAGACGTGGCCGCCGACTATCTGTGGAAAACCCCATGGCATTGTTAGGTGGTGATGCACTGAAGTTCTCTGAAATGTTCCAAAAGGATTTGGCAGCTCGGGCAATGAATGTTGACCCCAATTTTTGGAACCAGTATGCTGCAGCGATCACAAATGGACTTGCTATGAAGAACAATGAGATTTCAGTCATACAGAATGGAGGCATTCCACAACTCCCAGTAAGTTTAGGTGGAAGTGCCATTCCACCCTTAAGTAACATTACAAGTGGTATGGACAAAGCTCGCACAGGCAGCAGCCCTCCTATTGGTGGCCTGGACAAAGCAAGTTCAGAAACAGGAGCCAGTCGTCCATTCACAAGGTTTATTGAGGATAACAAGGAAATTGGTATAAATTAAATGTGAGAAATGTGAATAACTCTTGGGACTCTTAATCAACACATTTGTTCTATTTCATGTACAAATTTGGAAGTTTTAAGCATTAGTCTTATGATCTAAATGCCTACATTCCCTTTAAAATTTTATCCATAGCAGAAAATACATTAACTGTGTGGCTGCTGAAAAGTTGTCTTGCAAGAGCTGCATGGTACTTCTTTTAACAGTGAGTTTGACTGTTATTGAGAACTCTGAAACCTTTAAAATTTAAGTTAACAAGGAGTCAATGGAAACTGCATTAGCAACTTAAAGAGGTTAGACCACGTCCACTTTGTTTCTTATAAAACTTAATGATCACCTGAGAGGGAAAAAAAGAAAAAAAGAAGGGGGGGCTTCACTGCGGCATTCTGGTCAAACTTACTTGCTGGTTCTGTTCAAATTAGTTAGAAACTTGAACTATGTTTTTAGAAATCTTAATCTTAAATAAGTGATTTAGTACCCCCCATGCTGTGTATTATGACAGTATCCTTGTCTGTAGTATTTATAATGTTAAGATTATGCGGGTAACAGACAATATACTAGCCCCATCCTTAAATGAAGCTTTTGTACTGCAAAATACATCTGGCTATGTGATTTTTTTTTAAGCAAGATTTGTTTTACTATAAGTAAGTGGTTTATTTCAATGCAGGCAAAATTGTGAAGTTTTATTGGGAAAGATAGCATGCTTTTCATGTGCAAGTACCTGTCAGTAACAAATCTTTTTTATTTAAATATTTGTAGCTGCTATGTGGACAGTTGTTCTATTAAATGAAAAATGTAGTGTGGTCTGTAGCTCAATGATTGGAAAACAAGTTACAGACAAACCTTATCACCATAAATTATTCACAACATTATAAACAGTTGTGAGTAAATATTTCATGTTATCAAAGTTGTACAATAAAAAGGTAATGTTTGTATAATGTGGTTGCAAACTCTTAATTTATACTATTGCACTTTTAGTATTTTGTATTAGGGAGGTTTGTCTATAATTTGAAAATGAAAAAAAAGATGTAAACTATTTTATAAATAGTACTTTGGTTTAAGGAAAATGAAAAAGAAAACCTGTTACAGTTTCTTGTTTTGTCTTAAGGTCAAACAATATGAGAGATCTATGCTACTTAAATAGAAAAGCCACCAAGATTTGTCAGATCCTCAGTACAATAGGACCTGCCATTTCTAAAACTGAAATGATTTATTTAACTTTTCTACAAAGCCCATTAAAAACTGTGACCACCCCTAACAAAACTTTGATGAATTAATCTTAGGACTGTGACATCAATGCAAGCCCAGGAAACAGTAAAGAGAACATTGTGTAGGTTTAATTTTACTGTAATCTGTTCTGTCTTTCTCACACACCCACAAACAAGACATTGACTGCCTCAGAGCACTGGTAATACGTACAATAAACTGGGAAGAAATATTAAGTGTCTGGCAGTATAATCAGTCATAACTGTAAAATATTCCAAATTCCCAATTTCATGATTATCGTCTCAGATTACAACAAAGCACAATGTCCTCTGATTATTCTAATACCATTTTATGCTGATTACTTTGTTTAAATGACATCAAATAGCTAAAGGGACTGGTTCCACTCCTCTTAAGCTAGGATGCTGGTGAGGCTGGGGCTTAATTAAAACTTGAACAGTAAATGTTTTGTGTACTACCTCATTTTTGTGCATTACAAGCATGATGGAGTCTGACACTATGAATTTCCATCCAACAAAATTGTTCAAGGGACATCATGGGTAACTGGGTAACAGTGCAAGGAGTTGTATGCCCCTGAAGAAAGAATCAGACAGTGAGGTCTTCTCAGTTAAGACTGAAAAAAAGAGGACAATCTCTTATATAACAACAAAAAAAAATTACTGTAAGAAGATGGACTATTTCTGCCATCATGTAATTGAATGAAAAGTGTTTTGAAGACTTGTTAGCTGTTTATTTCTATTGGAAATGTACAATGAACTATACAGCTCTGTTTTCTACAGTGGTGAAATAGAACTTCCCCATGTTATGCCATCTTTTACCACAAAATGTAGGGGAATCTGGGGGTTTCCAAACATTGGAAAAAGAAAACTGAGGTGGCTTAATGTTGCTGTAATTCAGCAGTTGAATGTTTTTATTTTATATGTGTCATTTTTGGTGTGAATTTTTTGTTAGTATTTGGTACCATGTAGTGTTATCTCTTCTCCCTAAAGGATGTGTATAACTTAACAAAAGAGAGATGTAAAGTGTTGTAAATAAGATGGTTGATGAAGGTACAGTAAGACTGACCCCATTTTGTATTCAGGGTTAGGTCACTCCTCTCTGCATGGTGAAGAGAGACACTATTTTTATACTGCGATACCATGTAGGGCTAGGAGCCTCCCTGAACCAGCTGGGAATTGTTACCTAGATCCAATATTTTTTATGATTAAATCTTGTTGGCTTGACACATCTACTGATTGAAATGGATGTCTTAGTCTAGGTTACTATTTTTGTCATATGGAATTGAATAAAATGCAGGATGTAATATTATTTCTGAATTGCGTTCCTTGATTATTCTGACGGAAAAGTGAGAGTTAAGCTTATGGTCATTTGTGGTGGATGTACATCAGTGATTTTTCTCTAACCTTCATACATGAATGTCAACATAGGGTTGGCAAATTTAGGCCTAAGCAATATTTAAATGTATCTTAATTATACTTCAGCTATTAAGAGGCCTTTTTCTAAGAAGAAAATGCAGTCCCCTAAATGTGGATTATATATCTGCAGTGAAAAAAAGACGCTGTAGAAAAAATTCAAATATTTTGAAAGTATGGGCAGTGTCCAAAGGTCAACTATATTATGAAACACCTCTCAATTATCTGCATCAAGTGAAAAACATTACTCCTCTAGTCATTTCAACAAATAGATGGTGATCAAATCACAGGACATTAAAGGACATGGAAACAAATTCGCTAGCAGAACTGAATAAAAACAACAGACATCACTGAGACTTCATTCCCATCAAAGCCTTACATCTGTTCCCTCCAAAGAGAAGGTATCTTTTATGTTAAAATTCATACTATTTTGGAAATCACATTTGACATCCTCAAAATTATCATAACTGATGGCATCTAGATTTTAAAATAACAGTCTGTTTCAAGTTCCCTTATAAGAAAAGAAAAACACACACACACACACACACACACACCATAATTATCCTCTTCTCCTATGCTCACAGAATTTACAACAATTTTTATTTCAGGAACTTGAACTTTTCAGGTTCTGAAAAGATAATAAAAGTCCTAACTATTTGGCCAATTAATCATAGCTAAACTGACATTCTATTCGTCATTGTTGTAAAAATTTTTAAAGTTAAATACATTAATTTCCCAAATATTCAAATATGAATCCCAAATCTTCCCAAATATGAAAGGATGTAATATAAAGAGAATCTGTAAGAGGCAGAGAAAGTTCTCTCAGGGAATAGTAAGGATTTTCATGAGCACTTTAAGAGATTAAAATAAATTAAAAGATACAGAGCAAACACATAAAAATGTTTCTGAACTTCTATTTCCAAATCAGTCTTGATGCACAGTTCCTTCCGACATCAAGTAGAGGGTTACTTAGATTATACAAACAAGAAGAATGATGAATGTAACAATCCCTAAAAATTATATATACACATATATGTACATATTTATGTTATGTGTATATACACATACTATATATGTGTGTATATGTATACGCACACACATTCCTCTTCTAAGTTCATTATAAGAACTATTAACACTTAAAACTAATTAAGAGATACTGGTAAAGGGCTTTCTAACAATTGGTTTTAAACTCTCCACTGTTTAATTTTATCCCTGTAGAAGCTTGAAAACAGCAGGGCTTCCCACTACCTATGTTGCCTCGGTATTTGGCAGACATTCCATTGATCTTCCTTTATTTTATGTATTTATTTATTTGCAAAGCCACAGCAAACATCATGGGTATTTCTTTATTACTGTGTCGCATTTACATTTCCAACCTAATCAACTTCAAAACACTCTATTTTATGTTGGCTTTTTTTCTATTGCCACAGCAGTCCAAACCTCTAATTTCTCTCCTCTACTATATGCTTGAAACAAGAATGATAATGATCCATCTTGTGTAATCAGTTCTGTGCCCAGTCTTTCACAAGTACGCTAACCAACCTGTATATGCCATTCATTGACTGTCCTTTGTGGCAAGGCCCAGTGCTCATTTGCTAATTGCTGTTACTGAGTGAGGAGTGGAGAGATTGTTTATTACTTTAGAAAAGTTCCTTACAATATGGTGCTTCAGGGGGAAGAGATGCAATAGCTCAAAAAGCACCTAACCAGGCTTTAAATCCATTTTCTGATTTTCAAGTAAGTCAGAATTTGGTTTCTAGAAAAGATCTTAAAATTACTGTTAACAACTATGAAGGCTAATTGGAATTTCCCTTTTCTTTTTCACCCCTCTTAGAAAGTACGACTCCTTCATATTTAACTTTGCTTATTGTCATTTGTGGAAAAAGAAAAAAAAAGTCAAAATAATACAACTCATAGTATAGTACATTTTCTAACTGCTCTTTTACTTAATATTACTGACATATAAATAAGTTTAGTGATAGATATCAACGACAGACTAACATACTCACTAGAGTATGATAGAGTTTTAAGAAAACAAAAAGCACACTGGATCCCATGGGAGTCAGGAGACATGGCCTTTAACCAGTTCTATGACTAAGTAATTAGTTGTATTCAACTTGTCCTCTTTGGGACTCAGTTTCCTTTTAAGGATGTTGGATTTAGATGATCTCTAGTATTCTTCCAGCAGTGAAATTCTGGAATGTGCTCCAAAAAGTGTGCACCAGGCAGAAATTCCCGACATGCATGGATAGAATACATATGAGTGGGTTGTTCAAGAATATTTTCTCAAGGACATATATATGAAGTTTATTTTAGAGGATAATGCTTGGCAAATTTATTAGATTCTGAAACTAATCAACATTTTTGAATCATGACAGATGTGTTCACTTGTATTTTTTTTAACTAGGGATTTTTACCAAAAGTTCAATACTAATGATAGTTGTAGTAAAATCAAGACAAGTTATAAAACAAAATGAATTTTCTATTAGAAAAGGGCCTGTAAGAAATGGTTCCATTTTCCACACATATTGTATGCACAACTGTCTATACAGTAAAACATTAAACTGATCTCCACTTAGTCAAAACACTACATAGTTCAAAGCAACTATTATTTTAATTATTACTGCTTGTTCTTTCTTATTAAAATATTTGGCTAATTCAAATTTTTTTTAAAAGTCTGATTTTACTGTGCATAATTATTTTCAAACATGAAGAATGTTTTGGGTTTTGTCTTTGAGAAAGGATTTGGCTTATAATACTTGGAAATACAGAATGTACTTTGAAATAGATTCCTCTTGGTACATCAATTATGATTCAACTCAATATTTTCCTAAATATTGGCATCTGTAAGGGGAAAGAAAAATAGATGGGAGAGAGGTAGGAAACAAAAACAGAGAATGTAGAGAAGACATTGATGTAAGCAGACATCTATGTGAAAAGCTTTTATGTTATTAAATTTAAAAAATGATTCATTAGTCTTTACCAAGTCATGTTGCAGGAACCTAATCGTATCCTTAAAAGTCTCAGTGTAGATGATACAAAATAAATGTTTGATTTCAAGAGTTCCAAAGGGAATTGTTTGTAAACATGTGGATGGTCCTTTCTAATTTGCTTTCTAAATTGACTTTATAAAAAAGCCTGATAATTTTTTGAAGTAGATTGCACAGTCTATATCATGAAGTGTCGTTTTTTTAACAGAGAACTATGAGCCTTTGCCATCCAACAATCATCTCTGATGTAGTCTTCTTTTCATTTGTTTTCCTTTCAGTAGGACTACATAGACCCACACCTACATTTTTAGATGGATAATTTCTTAGACATAGGAAATGAATGTGTTTTCCTGATCATCTGATTGCTTTTTCCTGTTGATAAATCTTTTGATCCAGCATAAAACACAAACTGTTTCTATTTCATTTGCTTCCTTTTTGGCCTACAGAAATGACAGTATGAGAGCAATTCTGTGGATCAGTTTAATTTAATTTAATCAATTATTCTTATTATTGAGGAAAAACACAATTTTACACCCAAAAAAACCCAGTTTTTTTCCCCATAGTGACAGCATAAGTTTATTTGTGAGGTTTGATCTAATTTTTTTTTAATTGCTATTTTATTTTCTTTATGCTTTCTGGTTCTTTGGTAATGTGATACAGTGCTCTGCCAAAGTCTACAGCAGACAGAGTTCACAAGTTACTTATCCATTTTGTTACCTCACAGCCTCAAAGACATTTCAAGAATAAGTTTTTATATGCATACTTTCCACATTTAATATTTTACTGGATGTTTTCCTGACAGTTCAAAAATATTATTTCAGACATTCTCAGTTTAATATTTTTAAAGTCCTTTATTAGAACTGTTTGTTAGACTATTCTTCAGTCACTTGCACAGAGTATTTACATCAGAAATCATATATTATTCCCCAAGATATAATTCCTCTTAAGAAACTGGGCTTCATATATATGCATTATGTGGCAAAAAGAATTAATTACTAACAAAAACAATTTTTGAAATTTTGGGAAATCGAAAAGCAAAATCAACAAAGATTATCAAAGACCTTTGATACTACTATTCATCAGAACTAACTCATCAGAAAGTTTTTTAAATATAGGAAAGTCATTAGTTTTCACACAAAGGTTATATGCAAACTGAAACTTTATCAATGAATTTGGGTCAACTCAATAACAAACTGATGCTTCTTAAGAGGTTTTCCCACCTCTTTAATACTTTATTATAGATACATCCTCCATGATTTAAGCATATTTTAGATAACTTGAAGAAAGTCCTAAAATATATATTACTCACTATACTCTCAGATCACCTCTCCTTTCCCAAATTTTTTAACTACTTCTAAGTTTTTCAGTGTTTTCTTTTTATTCACTTTAAACTGTCTAATTTCTTGATATTCCCATATTTCCATCCTGGTTTGTTTTCCTGCCATTTTATCAGTTCTATCGCTCCCCCTCTCTATTACTACTAATTGTTTGCCACTTACTGT